GCTGGAAAATATGTATATTCACAATAACGAAACATCTTTTACTTGATTCCATGGTGGTTCATGAAGAGATACTGATGACTGTCCTACAACGCGCGTCAATAATAATTCATAATCGTCATAACTACATTGACCTTGACGCAGTCGATCAAGTAATTGAAGATACCGTGCGTCTTCTGTTCGCATTTGTTGAGTAAGTTTAACTACACAGTTAATTTGTAGAATTAACGAACGGGTAACACGTTGTTGGATTTCTTTTTCAGAAGGTAATTTATTAAATTTCGTTTTGTTTTCTGAGGAAAAGTCAGTGTATAATGGGGCATCGTAAACGAATCGACATGTTTAGCGGCACAAAGAATTCGGTTGAGTTTTCCCAATAAAGTCAAACCAACCATACTGATTTCATCAATCCAGAGATATTCTACAAGTGTCCACTCTTTTTCAAGTTTTAAGTCACCTGGTTTAATAGTTCTTGGCTTTCCAGAATTGCGTTGTTCGTCTAAAAATGAATGGATAGTCATACCACCAATTTCAACGGCTGCAATTCCAGTGGGTGCTAGCTTTCGCATCTTTTGTATTCTGTTTGTAATAACAAAATATTCAGTAATAGCACGAATAAGTTGGGATTTTCCTGTACCACCACATCCTGGTATACACATGATGAGTTGACCATTTTTATTGCCTATATATATGTTTAATATTTTCCAATTTATAATAAAATATAACATTATGAACATGAACATACCTGCATGTGGCTGTCTGTCACCATCCAGATGATTTGTTATTATCATAAATGCAGCTCTTTGCTCTCTGTTTAGTGTATATTGATCAACAATGGTCTTTTGATTACAGTATGTTGTACTTATTACTGACGCAACTGGAAGAATCGAGTTATAATTATGAGACATGTCTATATTTGAACTAGTTGAATTTATCAGTGTTACAACTGTATCTTCCATATCGTCATTATTTGAGTTGTTATCTGTTCTATAATTTTTACCAGTGATTAAATTTCGTCTAACTCGTTCTCTTTCGATTTTCAGTTGTTCTTGCCATTTAGTATTGAGCCGAACAAGATCCAATGTTGAAGGAACAAATGGTAACATCTGTTGATAATTATCAGCATATGATGCATTTATCAAAATTTGATTTGATGTTTGAGATAAAACTTTAATTAAGATCTTTGCAGCAGTCTTATCTTTATTTTCTAATAATATTTGTTACTATAAAAGAGCATGTTGATTAAAGTTAATATTAACAAATGTCACATATCTGTCATTGAAGTAAAATCATTTCTTATCTTCTTATCGTCCTGTTGGAACAAATGCAAAAATGTTCACATTATTATCGTTGTCTTATTGAAAAAAAACTTAAAAATGAAATTGTTCATTATTATTTTATTGGCGTTGATAATCAATATAAGTCAATCAATTGTATTTCTATATGATACAGAATTAAGTCCTGGTAGAGAAGAGTTTCTATGTATTTATTATGTTCAAAACTTTACTATAAAATATTGTGCTCGAGCAGGTAAAGATAAGGAAGTTCTTTCTTTCAACAATAGTCATTCAAATTGTGAAAAATGGAAATTCTCTCGACTTCTCCATGAAAATATTTCACCTTGGCAAGTTTTATCATGGAGTTCAAGTATTGAAGAAGCTGAACGTTATGCGCATATATATTATAATCGATCAATTAATTTTGATGAAAATGATTTTTTATGTAAATGTACAGAACAATCATCATTTGGCAGAAATTGTGAATTTCAATTATTATTTAATTCAACAGTGTTTAGTGATGCTATTGAAATTAGTTTTAAAGCAAAAGAAAATACCGATGGTCATCAAATGTTTGGTAGTATTATATGCTATGAAACATTAGAATGTAATTTTGGTACGTTATGTCTTGATTGGAGAAATATTTGTGATCGAATGCAAAATTGTATGAATGGTATTGATGAAGAAAATTGTCATTTATTAGAATTTAATGAATGTGAAGATAATGAATATCGTTGTATGAATGGAATGTGTATTTCACAAGAATACTGGCTTGATGGTAAATCTTATTTTTAGAATTGATTTTATTTTTTCAAAATTGAATTTCTATTTAGTCGAAAATGATTGCATGGATTGGAGTGATGAATTTTCCGGTGCGTTATCGTCAGAAGAGTGTGCTCTTAATCCATTAATTATCGATTGTGATGATCATCTATGTCTAGATGGATATTGGTCATGTGGAGATGGACAATGTATTTCAATATTAGCTCGTCATATCTATCAATCATTTTACAAAGAAAATTTAGGTTGTTATAGTATGCGAGAATATTATGGAATATGTGAAACAGCTACTCATATATCGTTGTGGACAAAACAGAATGGTCTTTGTGCTGTATCGGGTTATAATGATAAGTCTTTAAAGGATTTCCGTCAACATAACTTTTGTTATTATCTAGTACGATGTGCTCTATCAAAAGGTGCCGAAATTGAATGTCCATGTAATGGTGTAAATTGTAGTATTTTAGTGACTGATAACTGTAGACAAGGCAATGGAGTTTCCTTTCCACCACGTGGTATCATTCGTCCATGGCTACGGAATTTGTATAATTTTGATAGAAAATGGGATAATACTTTACCAGACTCAATTCTAGTTTTAGGAAGTTATCGATGTCGAGGATTCATTGGTAATATAACGACGTTTGATTTTTATTCCATTCCTACATCAAATTTATTTGCTGATACTATTATCGAACGCTATTTTTGTGTGCGAACTCCATTAATAAATCGGGATTATCAATCATTATTTCAATATTCAAATACATGTTGGAATGATTCATTGACATTTAATGGTCATCCATACGGTTTTATTGATTTCTGTCAACTAAAATTTCATTGTTATTCACAATATCGAATTCGAGATGGTTTTCGCGATTGTATAGGCGGTGAAGATGAAGGTAATCATTCAATGCCACAAACAAATTATTGTTATCGTATTCAAAAACATCGTTTTCAATGTTCTTCTCAACAATTAACTTGTTTACCAGCAAAATATCTCGCTATAAAAAGTAATATCAATTACGGCTGTATAAATAAATATGACAAATTCTTCAAAGGTAACGGTCGTGAAATAAGGACAATAGTTTGCAGGAAAAATACTGATAATAATGAATGTCAATCACTTCGATATTATATTGGTAATTCATCTCTTATTAATGGAACGTATAAAGATGATAAAAATGAAAATGTAGATCAAAGTTCAACTTTAAAACCTTTTCGATATTATTGTGACAGTTTTTGGGATGAATTAATACCACATTTAGATGAAGATCCTCTACGATGTCAAATATGGATTTGTAATAAAGAACAATTTCAATGTCGAACTGGTCAATGTATTGAATTAGAATGGGTTTGTGATGGTGAATGGGATTGTTCAGATGCATCTGATGAATTCAATCTTAATAATAATCTATCTGGTCATAATAAACGTCTAACTGGTTTAAATGAACGTAAGATACAATGTCAAACACATTATGCATTATTACCATTTTTTGATATTTGTAATTTTGATTATGAATATCCTTGTTTTCGATCATTTGTTTCTAATCCATTAGATATTCATAAATATCGACCCTGTATCAATCAAACACAAATTGGTGATAGAATTGAAGATTGTTATGGAGGAATAGATGAAAAAAATATATTTGAAGATTGTCAATCAAATATGCTTGGTTATACTCTTCGATGTGGTGATAAATGTCAATCTTCTCTTGATGCATGTGTACAAGGAGATTGTAAAACATCATTATTGTGTTTTTACAGAAATGAAAGTATACCATCATGTTCGAAATCAAAAGATGTTATTTGTCTTAATGGAACATGTATTCCAGATGGTCGATGTAATAAAATTCATCAATGTTTACACGGAGAAGATGAATATTGGTGTCCATTAGATAATACATTAATAGATTTTGCTTATCGACAAAAAAAACGTTCATTTCAACTTCAAAATATTCCCAAAATTCATTTATTGAATTTTCCAAAAGAAAATCATCAAGATTTTCAAAAAAAAACAACTCTTAAACTTATTTCATCACAATTACCGCAAAAAGAATTAAATTATTTGTCATACACATGTAATCAAGGTTTAGCTGCTTATGTTCCATCTATGCAGGATTATTTCTGTTTGTGTCCACCTTCTTATTATGGTGTTTCCTGTCAATTCTTTTCGGATCGTATATCTATTATTACTCATTTTGATTTAGTAACGTTACCAAATGAATATATGATAAATTCATTCATTATAGTTGTAACATTACGTTTCAACAATATTATTGAAGATCACACTTTACTTTATATTAATCCATCAATATTAATTCATAGATCTCTAAAACAACGTTTTTATCTTCTATATTCTCGATCAAACAATTCTATAAACTATAAAAGAGCAAGATATTTTAATAGTACTGATATTCGTTATCATCATCCATATTCTGTACATTTCAATATATTTTCCTTATTAACAAATAATCGAATCAATGAACTTGGTTCCTTTATCTATCCAATTTATTTTGATTTTCTTCCTGTTTTTCGTTTAGCAACTATTCTAAAATTTCCATCATGGTTTGATAATTCAACTTTTGATCCATGTTATTCAAATCCTTGTAATGAAAATTCATTATGTAAACCCATCTTAAATCAAAATAATTCATTTTACTGTTCGTGTAAATCTGGTTATAGTGGACAAAATTGTGAAAATTATCATTCGAAATGTTTATCCTATTGTGCTCCTACAGCTTTCTGTCGACCTGGTTATCGTGGTGAAATCAATGGTCCAACATTACCTCTATGTATCTGCTCATTAGGTTCTTTTGGACCTCGTTGTTATTTACGAAATGAAGTATGTCAATCAAATCCATGTGGATTGAATTCAACATGTCATCCAACGTATGATCCCAGTGGTGAAAAACCATTTATTTGTCTATGTTCTGAAGAATATTATGGTGATCAATGTCAATATGAAAAAGTTCCTGTTTATATTCGAATGAATTTGACAACAACAACTTTATCAGATACAATAATCAGTGTTATTCAATTTTATGATTTAACAACAGCGGCAATATCATTAAAATTGCTTAAACAACAAGTTAAACATGGTATACCTAAGATAATTCGATATAATCATGGAAGAAAAACATCACCACCAATTGCAATTCTTAAGACGTATGATCCGTTAATGAATTGGAAATATTTTATTCTTTATATTCAATCAGAATCAACAACTATTAATATAATTTCAATACCTGAAGAATGTC